ATGATGATGATGATTAGAATGATATTGACAATAATGACGAGAATGATGTTAATATTGGTTATTAATTGTTACTGATTAATTATTGATTACTGTTACTGTTGATGATAACAATGATTATAATAATTGTTGTTGACTGCAGTTATAGGTGGAAAATTGAGTAATACGTGGTTAGTTGAAATTGAATTTATTCACTGAAAGCTGATACGTGTCTACTCTACGCTTGCTAAATCTGATCTCTCCTTCTAGCCGTTCGCAACTCGCGGATGCGTGCGCACACCGCTGGCGCTCTATCTCGTCGAAATACAGTAATCAGTCGGTCGATAACACGATCGATAACTAAGCTACCGACCTGCGTAACGTGATTCACTAAAATAGGAGTTACCAACTAACAATCACAACACGCTGCCCGCCTTGACAAATATTACATATTTTCAATAAAACAATACAAACTTATTTCTAAAGTATAGTCTCGAGCATGACTCGTTATTCTTACACAAGTTATACATATATATATATATATTTTTTTTTTTTATACGGTATAATAATCCGTATAGTATCTAAATTAAATGCTTAAAATAAAGAAATTAATACAAAGATGTATCGTGCTAATCTGGTATCGACACATTAACAATAGCTCTTTTATATATACCCTGTTCCGTTTTCACAGTCACCGCTCTTACGATTTCGTCAGTACCAGGATGTATTTCCAAAATTTGGGCGAGTTTCCATTTCAAAGGTCTGCTTTCACCCTCCTTTAACATAACTAATTGTCCGATCTTGAATACGTTCCTGGAGTCAGTTTTCCACTTAGTTCTCTGCTGACATGTGCTTAGGTACTCTTTCTGCCACCTAGTCCAAAATCGTTGTTTGAATTGTTGTACATGTTGCCATCTTGACAATCTGTTTACCGGAATTTCTTCCAGATTCACCTCCGAATGGCTTTGTAGACACTCTCCTATTAGAAAGTGGCCAGGAGTTAAGGCATTTAGATCGTTCGGATCGTCCAGTAAAGGAGTCAGAGGTCTGGAGTTTATCATTGCTTCTACTTGAATTAATATCGTCATCAGCTCCGTTACCGTCAAACAGGCGTCCCCTATAGTTCGTTTCAAATGTAACTTTAATAACCGCACCGCCGATTCCCAAAGTCCCCCAAAATGAGGGGATCGAGCAGGTATAAAATGCCACTTCATTTGTTCGGAAGCTGCATACTCTTGGACGGAATTCTTAAATTCGTTAGTCTCGAACACTTGCCGTAATTCGCGTTCTGCTCCGACGAAATTAGTTCCATTGTCGGAGTATAGGTTCGCAACTTTTCCTCGCCGAGCTATGAATCTCTTTGCTGCTGCGATGAAGGAATCTGCACTCAAATCCTCCACTAATTCAATGTGTACTGCCTTTACCGACATGCATATAAAGACTGCTACGTAGGTTTTATATTTCTTACTGTTACGTCTAATACGGTCCCGGGTATAGAAGAGGCCACAATAATCGACTCCTGTATTATGAAAGGGTCTTGCTGCGTTAACTCGGGCCATTGGTAGCTGTCCCATGAGCTGTCAGCTTGCTTTGGGATTAGCCTTTCGGCACCGGATACATTTGTGTATTATCTCCTTGACTCTACTCCTTACAAATATTGGCCAGAATTCTTCTCTAATATTACTTAATGTAGTCTGGACTCCAGCATGCAATAACTTCTCATGGTAGTGTATAATCACCAGCTTTGTAAAATAGTGATGTGATGGTAAGATTGTGGGGTGTTTGACCTCTTCCGGTAGGACTGCGTGCTTCAACCTTCCACCCACTCTTAAGATTCCGTTGTGGTCAACAAATGGTGATAGGGCTATCAGTCTTGAACTTCTCTGTACCTTTTTGCTCGATTTTAACATTTCTATTTCGTCTGAAAACTTTTCGGATTGTACTAACATAATTACCCTTATTTTAGCTATTTTAATTTCTTCGGCGCCTATCGTGCCTAGCTTGCGGTTTTCCTTGCCACATCTTATATTGTAAATAAATCTTAACATGTATGCTGCTACTCGTAACAATTTATACAATGACGAGAATCTCCTATATTCTATAACGGTATCGCAGCTAGTAACCACTACTGTTACAATTTGTTTTCTTTCCTCTGGTATGTTTGTTAATAATTCCATGTCTTCCCCGGGCCACGCGTCTCTCTTTTGTTTCAACCACTGAGATCAGTAGGGGGGGTTTGAGCGGTGGGGGCGAACCT